TTAAAATTTTTTAAAAATGTTTTAAGACGAGGCTTTTTTTTTTCACTCCGAATATTTGAAGGACCAAGAGCCATTCTTTACTTTCTTTCAGGGAAGACCAGTTGTTTCTCATACTCCAGCTCAGTTATATTTGATTTGAGTAGCGCGCTCTGATGTCTGTATAGCACATATACATAGTACATGGTAGGCACTATCCCCAGCAGTGGGAGTGTAGGAGGTAGCCTCTCCTTTAGGTCTGAGGTTTTCACAAGTATGCTTAAGTGCTTCAAAGAACTTTATCTTCATCTCCTCAGTTACAGAATGTCTTAGCATGATAAGCAAGAACCTCTACTCACCTCTGCTGAGATGTATCATTTTTAATAACTCAATGCACAAGAAGCCAAAGCAACTGTGCTTTGTCAGGTAAAATAACCATATGGTCGTCTTACCTTTTCTCTGCTAAGCTGCAATGAGCTAGGAATTCTTAACATGTTCCTCCATCCTTCTTGTTTTCAGATCTTTACATAGAATTTGCTCCTGAGTATGTTACAGGCATTATAGTCCTAGTCAAGGCTGTTTTTTTTTATTTTGTTTTATTTATTATTATTTTTTTTCCTCTGAAGCAACATTTTACCAACAAAAATGATGAAGCCACTCACCTTGGAATTTAAAGAGAAATCTGAAAGGCAGTGTAAAATAAATAAAGGTCCACTTCCAGCTCATTGTTCAGGGTCACTGGAATCCAAGCACCGATTTTCAGTTGCAAAGCAATATGGAAAAGACAAAACTTCCTAAGAAGTTTTATGTTCTCTTTCTGAATCTACTTTATTTTTCATTTTCAAACCTAAGCCATCTATGTAACTTTTTAGGATTCTGCATTATGCAATTCAAAGCTATCTTGAAAATACCCTGAAGTTGAATATATAAACTGGTACATGTATTCATTTTAATAGTAACTATGGTGACCCACTAAATAGTGTTGTTTTATTCTTTGTCCATCTACCACTAATGAGTCACAGTCAACCAAAATAAATTCTGGGCTCTCCACACCATGAAATTCTGGGTTCATAATAAAACTGCAGCTTGTGACCACCCCTGGGATGGATTTTATGCATTGTGAGCCCTAATAGTTATTGGGGTCCACATCTGCAGCAGAGCAAACAAAGTTTCACTCATATTCCATTAAAGATTGCCAGAGTCCAGTCCTGGCTGGGTTCTTCAGTGGTTGAAGCACCACCCCATACACCAAAATGTTGTGGGTTTGTGGGTTCAATTCCAGTCAGGGCACATACCTAGGTAGGGGTTGGGCAACCAATAGATAGTCCCCCCCCCCCCCATTAATCCCATTAATTAAACACACACACACATATAATATCCTCAGGTGAAGATTAAAAAAAAAAAAAAAGATTGCTAGAGTCCAAATTGACTACGCCTTTCTATGTGGATTGCCTGGGCCTGATTACTTCTTGACATCTAGTAGTGGGGTAAATATTAATTAATAAATACATATTAGAGAAGCTCCAGTGGCACAATCAGTTAGCAAGTGCTACTTATGAGAAATACATATTCGAGCCCAGCTGGTGTGGATCAGTGGTTGAGTATCCGCCCAGCAAGTTGCCAATTTGATTCCTGGTTGGGACACATGCCAGGTTTCAGGCTTTATCCCCAGCAGTGGGAGTGTAGGAGGTGGCCTCTCTCATCATGTTTTTATTTCTTTCTCCCTCTCCCTTTCTCTCTCTCTCAAATTAATTTCTTTTAAATATTAGAAAATGAGTACATATTAAAGCAGGCCAACTTTTACAAATGGCATCAGCCATTCAAATGCACTCTTCTACTCATGAGAAATCCCTACTCTAACAATTATACCCTATTCAAATGATATTTAGCCTTAAAGATGGGAGAGAGGAGGACTTTTTGGATCCCCATAGATTCAACCACAGGCAGGCTACAAGTGAAGGAGAATGTCTAAAGAAAAAATGACCAGAAAAGTGATGGTGATCAAAATCTAAGTATAGGAAGAGATATGCTCCTATAGGATTCAGAACATTCCTTAATTATTCCATTTATGTTAATGACTAAATTTTTAAATCCTCAGCAAAGAATATGTTTTATTGATTTTAGAGAAGGAGAGAGAGAGAGAGAGAAGAGAGAAGAGAGAAGAGAGAGAGAGAGAGAGAGAGAGAGAGAGAGAGAGAGAGAGAGAGAGAGAGAGATATGTTAATTAGAGAGAAACATCGATTGGTTGTCTTCCATACATACCTTGACCAGGAGTCAACCTCACAACCTAGCATGTGCCCTGGCCAGGAATTGAACCCTCAACCTTCCAATGTACACCTCAACACTTCAACCAACTGAGCCACACCAGCCAGGGCTAATAACTAAAATTTGATGTGTCTTTTTCCTACCGGTGTGTAATCTTTCTGAAGAAAGAATTTATTCTCAGTGCCTGTATGACAGTTACAAAAGGTATAAATATTTGCATAATAGGAAATACAAAGGAACAGAAGAAATATTTAAAATGATAATATCTGAGAATTTCTCCTGGACGCGTGGGTCCACATGTTCGGACCACAGGTTCAAGCTTACAACTATATCTGTAACTGTGCTGGCTATAACTGTGCTGGGAGGGCTCTGCCCTCCAAGCTGGGACTTGCATGTGATTTCCATGAGAGGACACTGTTCTCTCATTAGTCTGAGGTTTGAACCTGTCCAAACACTGTAGCTGCTCTCCACACAAAACAATGAAAGAACCAAATTTGTAGCAAACTCTATGGAAATTTTAAGGCTGAGTTACTATACAAACTGACATTCCTGATACTTGAATATGGAACATGTCCACAAGAAAAGGAAATAACCTTTCTAACAAAAAAACAACAACAAACAAACAAACAAAAAAGATCTTTATTGCCTATTATAGATGACCCTCTTATTTTTCCCTTTCCCCCTCCACCCAACTCCTGCCCCACCCCAGGATTTCACCACACTATTATCTGTGTCCCATGGGCAATGCACATATGCATACAAGCTATTTGGTTAATCTCTTCCCACCCATCTTCCTTCCCTCTGAGATTTGTCAATCTGTTCCATGCTTCCATGTCTTCTGATCTAACCTTGCACTTTCTAAGCACTATATTGTAAGTGGAAAATGCAATGTCTTAAATCAAAATGTATTTGAAATTGGCACACAAAACAAATAAAAAACAAACCAAAAATCACAAACTTTTTTTGCATCCAGATACAGTTATCTTTCCAGGATGTGGAATAAAACAATGGAAGTATGTTTCCCTTGAGCCTGAATAGTGTTAATTATGAGAGTGGCTGTTTGAGGGTGAATGATTACTGAGCACTGATTACAAAGTGGCAGTGTTGTCTACATTTTTAAAAAATAAATATATTTTATCTGAGTGTGAGACCTAAGCAAAGACCCATCTTTTCCAGATGTTGCAAGCATAATTAATAAATCCATTTAACAGAGGTAAAAACTGGGACTTTAATGTATCAGTCAGCATAAAGTATAGGAAATAGAAACATCTCTAGAGAGTTCAAGCAGAACAGGAATCAATACCAAATTATGAGTTCACAAAATGGTAAGATGGCCTAAGGCATGGAGATAGAAGGCTATTTTCTTCATTACAACAACAACAACAAAAAGAGAAATTATAAATATATTTAATTGGGCTTTGTTTATGAAGAGTGGGTATAGATACGTAATGGGTGTAGAGGAGATGAAAAAGTTTCCATCCAATGACTTCTTCTGGTCAATAAAATGAGGCAGCTGAGAAGACTAGCAGAATGAGGTAGGTGGTTTGAGAAGAAAGAAAAGGTATGAAATATGATGTAGAGAATGTTCAAGAAAGCTAGTGTGATTGCCAGACAGCATTTCAAATTTAGTTGATCATTCATTTATAGGCAATCTGTCCAGTCATTTGCTCTTTATTTTTATGACTTTAATCAACTACATCTTGTTATCCATTTCATACTCTAAATATAGAGATAAAGAAAAATTCATAGTACTGCTTTGTGAAAGCTAGTACTTGTTTTTACTTTATACCACATGTACAGTCCCAGCCAAAGTCCAAGTTCCATCAGAGAATAAATCTCAGTCTCATTAAGTTCTTTTCCTTTCAGCAGCTCAGAGCTGCTGAGAGAAAATTCTTTAACCTTAGCTACCACAGATCATGAGAGATCCAGCTCCATAGCACAGGCAAAGGTAAGTCTGGAGCCTCTACCTGGGCGGGGGGGGGGGGGGGGTGAGGGAGGAGAAGGGGAGAAAGAGGGGGTCAGTTCCAAAGTTGGAGGAGGAGGTAGTTTGAAGAAAAGATCAAGGTAGTGTTCTGTGAAAGGATCTACTGCACAGATGAGGTGTGGATTGAAATAGCTGTGCTTATTCACAGGAAAGAGGAATGAAAGAAGACAGAAGAAGAGATAGGGGGAAGAAATAAAATAATTATACTAGTTAAAAGTTCGGGGAGGGGGGCATTTGTAATTCCAAGAGGTGAGATGTCTCTTTCTATGTGTTTGCTCTCTATTACTTAATCTGTGACACCTAGGCCAGTGGTCTTCAATAAAGTATATACACCTGAGGCTGTGAAAAGACTTTGCAAGATACTCAGGAGTAACGTGAACAAGGTGAGTGTTCATACCTCACACCCCATATGTGCTCTTCCTTAAAATTGGTTGAAGAGGCTTATTCCCCACTCTATCTCTCACAGTTGTCTTTCTTTTACTTTAAAATCAAGGGATAGCCTTCCCTCCTTTCCCATTCCATTTTTTCTATATTTCCCTCCCCTTCTTTTTTTGAACAACTCAGTCTGAAACTGTTCAAGGAGACAGAACAAAGTCCACCTCTGTGCTGGCAAGTCAAAGGGACAGGGTGTAGAAGGGGAACAAAATTGGCCCCAGAAAGGAGTCAGAGTCCATTTAGTGAAGGGATTCTAACCCATGGAGGCAGCCTGATGTGGAGGAGGTGAGTCCATGGGGGAAGGGCACTCTCCAATAAGAATCAGTGCCTGAGCCCAGTGAGGCATAGGTAAGACATGCCAGAGCCCACACAAGGTAAGAAGGCATCCATATGGAGGGAATGCTCAGCATAGTGCTGGAGAGGGTTGAGGAGGGCCTTCATGCAGGAGAAGGGGTAGAAACAATGGTGAGAAATTGGCTTCATACTGTCAGGGTGATCAAAGAATAAATATATTAAGAATCAAGGGCCAGGACTCTCATTTTCAGAATAGAAAGTTACAAATAGTGAAGGAATTTGGGGGAGACTAACATAAAATCATTAGCTGCTTAGTGATTTCAGGGTAGCCTGAGGAAGTAGCCATGGTGGACCAAGTGAAGTCCCTGAAGGAATTTAGCAAGAACATCAGGTAGATTTAACAAATTATGATTGATGGCTGGCAAAGTATTCTAAATCCCTATGGTCCCTACCTAGAAATAGGGTGCTGACACTTGAGAGTTGCCTGAGAGAACCCCAAACTGCCACATGATCTTCCAGGTCCTCCTGAGACTGTATAGAACAGTAAGTCTTGTTCCTGCTTTCCTTTTTTTTTTTTTTTTTTTTTTTTTTCCAAAACCGTTTCTTTTGTGAAACATACCATATGGGGTATGGAAGAAGTACAAAGGAACATTTGGAGAAACTGTATTGGGCATTTTAATTTTGCAGGGAATTCTTACGAAGAGATTTTGGTAAAGTGTGACCTATTTGAATAGCTCAGCACTAAATATACTCAAACTTTTTGCTAAGTCCCACCTTTCTCTATCAGCTCTCTCAATAGCTTCTTAGCCCTCTGCCTTGTTTCCACAGTGTGCCTTGCCTGTTACTGGTGGGGAGCTGTGTTGTGCTGTTATGAAGAAGTTAACTTCTCTTGCCCAAGTGAGATAGTTTCCATAAAATGTTGTTCCTAACCTGATCTTTCCTATACTTTCAAGAGATGTGGATACTAGTAGGACTTCATATTCCATCTTTATATACATTTAAAGGATGTCTTATATCAATTTTTTTCACCAGTTGATTCCTTAAGATGGCTTTACAAGATGAGCAGCAAATAGGAAGTGCAACTTATGTCAACCTGCTTGGTGAGAGCCACGACATACTCTGCTTGATGGACCACCTAGATTTAGGTTTCAGCCAACTGCACTGAGTTAGCTGTCCTTCAGGAAAAGGATCCCATAGAGCAACAAGAATACAAAATGTAGGTGCGGGAAGTGCCCATACGTGAACCTACCTGGGGTGGATTGGAGGAACAAAGAGGCCAGGCAGAGATTCTGGTGGAGCTCAAAGCATCAGCACCCAAACTCTGTCCTTATATAAGATTTTTTTTTTGTTCGTTTGTTAATTTAAAGTTGATATGCACAAACTAACTGCAATGTGATTATCTTAACATTGCATGCACTTTCTACAATATAAACTCCTTATTTTGAGCCATTGGATGAGAAAAAATTCAATTGAATTTTCAATATATTCAAGTTTTACAATAAATTTCCACATTAAATTTGTTCATTTTATTTATATTTTTTGTCACCATTTATCCCTTCTATGGCCTCTTTCACTCCTCTCTGTAAAAATTCATGAACATTACATTTGTAAATGAAGAAAAACAAAGAGCTGTTATGTTCTTTAAATAAAATTTGAAAGAATAGGAATTAAAAAGATTTTAAAATTTATATCATTTATTAATGCAACTAAAATATCTTACCAATGGTGACTGTCAAGAAGTAAAAGAGATTATCATTGGTAATTATTACTGAATAGTCATTTCAAATATACAATTGGAAATAAAAAAGCCATATTTACTCAAGCAATCTCAAAAATTATAAAAATTTAAGATTTTTAAGTGAATCCCTTTTAATTTTATATTTAATGTAGTTCTTAATAAACACTATCTCATTTCTTATAATTATATAATATCCAAAAAGTGTCATATTTTTCCATGAAGCCCATATAGACTAATCCCCTTCCAGTTTCCTGCATACAGTGAGCCAATAAAATAACATCATTTTCCTCTGTTTGCCATGATATTAAAAAAGGTTGAGAAGTGTTGCCTAATTCATGGAGAAGTAATATATGTTCCTTCTTTGCAGTGGCTTTCATGGTCCTTAAGACCTTACACAATAATATACCACAAGCCTCTACTAGTTCAGGATCCATTCCCCCACATATAGAGCTAATGTATTGCCCCTCCACTTAAAGAGACCGTAGCATTTAGAATGTTTTCCCCTCCATTGTTTAGGTCAGCCCTTCCTAGACACTCTCTAAGTAGCAAGATCTCAGCCCTGGGCAGCAAACTTCACAGCCATGGACAGCAAATTCCCAGTTGTAGTAGTTATTGAGGTGTTACAGCCTCTTTCTCAGTACTACTACTAATTTATATCTTTTTATAAAAAATATATATTTTATTGATTTTTTTTACAGAAAGGAAGGGAGAGGAATAGAGAGCTAGAAACATCGATGAGAGAGAAACATCGACCAGCTGCCTCCTGCATCCACCCCACCTGAGACGTGCACGCAACCAATGTACATGCCCTTGATCAGAATCAAACCTGGGACCCTTCAGTCCACAGACCGACATTCTATTCACTGAGCCAAACTGGTTTCGGCTAATTTATATCTTTTGAAAAAGGGTATCAGAAGCCTGCTTTGGCCAGGCTAGGAGAGGAATGAGGCTAGAAATGATAGAAGCCACCTATTTTTTCTATTGGTCTGAGGCAGAGAACCCCCTAAGCTCCTGGATCCTCTAGAAACAAGATTCCTGTCTCTGGGTCACCCGATACTATGTACAAAAGGTGTATATTTGGGAGTGAGTCATCAGCATCTAGATTGTAGCTGGAGCCATGAGCTTATAAGAAATCTCATAGGGAGAATATAGTATAAAGTGGGATGAGAAAAGGATACAGGACAGGGCCCTGGGGGAGGCACAGTTGAGCTATGGGATCAAGAAGAGGAGCAACAAAGAAGATAGAGTTGGAGCAGATATACTACCTAAGTATGTCTTTAAAAGAGGGAATAAGCTAATTGCCCCTCATGCCAGTTGCAAAGATGGCACCACCCACAGCCAATAAGGAAAGAATATGCTAATTGAATGCCCCACCCTCAAAGATGGCAGCACCCACAGACAATAAGGAGGCAATATGCTAATTGACTGCCATGCCTCAAAGATGGCGGCACCCAGTCCCTTCAGCCCCCCAGCCACCTAGGGCCAGCCTGAGGCACAGGCAAACCTCAGATGGTGGCTGCCCAGGGCTGGCCCGAGGCTCAGGTAAACAAGGCCAGCTTAGGCTTGCACTGCCAGCAGTGGCAGCAGCAGAGGTGTGATGGGGCATCGCCTTGCCCTGATCACCAGGTCTCCTCCCACCCCTGTGGGCTCCTGTACTGTGAAAGGGGGAAGGTTGGGCTGTGGGTCCCCCACTCAAGTGCATGAATTTTCATGCACTGGGCCTCTAATATATACATAAGGAGCAGAAAGTTTGGAAGTGTGAGTGCCCTGAGTAGTCCTGAAAATCAAGGGTCCCAAAACTTGTAGAAAAAGAAGCAAGAATCTTACTCTGTCCTTCACCTTAGTCCCATAGATAAGATGAGCCCCTTACCCATCCAATAGTGAGATTCCTTTGTTCCTTTCTTTCTCTGCCCCTTGACTTAAGTCTCAGAGTTCTCTTTTTATCTCAGTCCTCATTACAGTGTTTCCTCCTTTTCCAAGGAGTCATCTGCACAATGCCTTGGGATCACCCTGCCTCAGTGACCTGAGGAGGCAGCAAGCCTCTCCAATTTATCATGGCAGCCTCATCTCACTCTACCTCTGCCTCCAGATGTTCATATTGGTTGCAGGTAGGAATATTTATATGGGAGTCTGATTCTCTTCTGATATGAAAGGGAAAGGAAAAAGTGAAAAGGAGGGAAGCTGGAAGACAAAGTTTGACAAAAATACAATTGCTACTTTCAACAATAAAACTTAAAAAAAGAAAAGAAAAACAAAGTGAAATACAAATGCTATGAGATCCTGGGGAAAGTAAAGAAATTAACTTTATTCTACTTACTATAATAAGTATCAGGCAGTATACTGGCTTTTATATTTGTATCTCCTGGTATGGGCCTGCTGGTTTGTGTGTGTATATGTGTGTGTGTGTGTATGTGTGTGTGTGTGTGTGTGTGTGTATTCACCTGAGTATAAATGTACAAATGTGCATGTGGTGGGGCAAAAATTGAAAGAAAGTAAAAGAGCCTTAAATGGTAATAAAGAAGCATTAGATCCCCCAAGATAATGTATAATAATTTTGGAGAAAAATTAGCTTCTATTCCCCAATTTCTCATCCCATGATCATGGCAAACAGTAATAATGATTCTCACATATCTTTACCACTGAGCTGCTTCAGATTTCTTTTCTCAATACAGTCAACCAACTATCCATTTAGAGCCATCAGAGTTCCTCCCTTCTACTGACAAGGACAGAACCTGACCTGAAGGAGCCAGTATGTCTATTCCCCATCTCCTGCATTTATATTCCTCAGATTTCTCCCCACAGGATGAGTTAAGTGAGGAGCTTAGGGCCCAATTTTTTTTAAGTCCTATGTTTTTCATTGAAGGAAGACAGAGAAAGAGAGAGACAACCTTGCCTTATCTATGTGCCCTGAAGGGGGACTGGTAATCAAACTTGCTACTTGGGTATGGGCCCTAATCGGGAATCAAACTAATACCTTTGTCTGTATGGGATGATGCTTCAACTGGGTCACACCAGCCAGGGCTAGAGCTCAATATTTAAAGGGGCACTTGCTTCCAGGTTCTTGAGGACCCTGCAGCTATACCCCAAAAATGAGTGCCTCCTCAAAATTTGTGCTCTAAGTCTTTTTCTTGCCTTGTTCAGCAAGGCCTAGACATCCTATTTCCAACATTTCCTTTTATCTCTTAGCTCTGTGTGTATATTAAGGTCAGAAAAAAGATTCCCCAAGATTCAGCAACTATCCCATTTTAGACCTGGTCCCTACTAGCTGGTTACAATGAAAATAGCCAATCATATATGTAGTCAACACCCTTTCATCTGCCTCAGCCCACCCTGACTCTATTTCTATTTTCTTTTCAGGAGCGTTTCAAGTCAAGGGGCCCCATGAACCCATGGTGGCCATGCATGGTGGTGAAGCTGATCTGTCCTGCATCCTTAAGCCTCGTCAAAATATTAAAAATATGAAAATAAGCTGGATCCGGACCCTCCCCTCCCAGGTGGTGCATCTGTACGAGGATGGGCGGGACAAGCCTGAGAAAGCCATGGGAGAGTATTTAGGGAAGACAGAGCTTTTGAAAAATGCCATGAATAAGGGGATCGCAGTCCTGAGAATCCTCAATGTCCAACCCTCTGACAGTGGACAGTATCGCTGTGCAATCCAACATGGCTCCTTCTACAGTGATGCAGTGATTGAGCTGAAAGTGGCAGGTAATGGCCCATGTTTATTCCCTTGACACCCCACAGGTGCTCCTTTCTCTGATCCAGTTTTACTGGGAAATATAAAGAAGTCATAGGAGAAAGGGAGATAGCCATAATGTCTACTCACTCATCATCCATATATCACTGCTTGGGACTAAATAAAAGATAATAAAGATACTCATAGTGGGAGTCAAGAAATAGGCAGGGGCCATTTATCTTGGACTGTGCTGGAACCCTTTCTAGCCCAGGAGTCTAAGTTCCCATCCTTGTTGCCAACACTTCTTCAGAGTTCCCTGTTCTGTACACTGAGGTCTAGTCTGCAGCATAAATTCTTCAGAAGCAGGGGAGAAATATGAGTGCAGGAAAATGAGCTTAGGACCTGACTTCTCTCTCTTCCTCTTCCCAGCTCTGGGCTCACATCCTCAGTTACTTGTGGAAGTAACTAAATGCCAACAACTCCGATTAGAGTGCAAGTCAGAGGGCTGGTTCCCTCGGCCAAAGGTCCAGTGGATGGACTCTGAGGGAGGAGAAATTCCAGCTGAGTCTGAGACTTATACCCAGGACAAAGGTGGCTTGTTCCATGTAACAACATCACTGTTCCTCAGAGAAACTTCTCAGAAGAATCTGACATGTTCTGTCCGGAACCCAGTTCTAAATCAAAAAAAGGAAGAGCAATTGTCCATAGCAGGTCAGTTTTCTCTCTCCCCTCACTGTGCCCACAAAATGGGCTTGATGCTCATACCCATGGGAGTGGAATCTCTAAGCATATAAGCTCTGTTCTGTTCTCTTCATCACACCTATATCAGTCTCCCTGCCAGGACTCAACTTCCCTCCACTTTTTCTACATTTTCCCATCCTTTCCTGACATAATTTCCAGTCTTCACTTACTTAAGCTCTCCATAGAATTGGACCTTTTTGTCTTAGTCCATTCAGGCTGGTATAACAAAATACCCCAGACTGGATGGATTATAAATGACATAATTTTATTTCTCACAGTTCTGAAGACTGGAAGGTCAAGATCAGGAGGTCAGCACAGTCAGGTTCTGGTAAAAGCACTCTTCCAGGTTGCAACAGCCAATTTTTCTTTGTGTCCTCACAGAGTAGAAGAGATAGGGAGTTGGAGGGGGATATGAGGTGGTCTCCTTTATAAGGACACTAATCCCATTCATGAGTTAAGGACCTCATATTGGGCATTAGGATTTCAGCATATGAATATTAATGGGACACAGGCTTTCCAACCACAGCATTCTTCACCAAAAACCATTTTCAGATTTACTTACTAGCCCTCCAATAGGTCAATCTCCCCTGATTCTCAGTTTACAACATTTCTCCTCAGTCTTTTTATGCTGTATTCTTTCTCTATTTAGATGAGCTGTTGCAAAAATGCTATGAGCCTAAACATAGATCAAGTCCTGTTGACATGCAGTATGTTTTTGATGTACCTTGCTATACATATATATATTTCACTTCTTTTCTGATTTCTGCCAGGCACAATTGTCTTGCCACAGTTTTCTTAAATTTTTATATTTCTTCATAAAGGCTATTATTCATTAATAATTTTTGAATTCATAGCTAAATGCTTGGCTATAATATTAATCTATGCTATGGCAACATTTTTCTAGTGAATCTTAATTATCCTTTTTGTCATTTTTCCATGTATAATCTTTGTACTGTTCCTAAGCCAATCTTATAGCCTTACTTGTTATCCTATGCATTGAATTTTCCTGGGCCAGCTATTTCCACAAGTTTTCTGTGAGGTAGGAATGGTAGTGCAGTCTTCCACAGTAGCTGATTCTCACAATCCTACTGCTACCACAGAGACAGGCTTCTTTCTACCAATATGGCCCATGTGTGTGAATATTTGCATATTCTATGCCCTGTTTCTCCAAACAAAAATAGTTCTAGAATGCACAATTCAGTTCCTGAATCATTTGTTACAAACATGAATGTAATTTTTGATCTTTAAGGTATTCCTTTCTCCTCAGTAAGTCCATTTTTATTAGTATTTTCTGACATTGGCTATTGCATGGTCTCCTAACCATTCTCCACACCTCTCTTCACTATCTTCCACATGGAGTCTAGGTGATCATAGCTATTTTTGGCAGACTTTACACCTATTTTAAAGTCTGATGTTTGCAATTTTATTTTATTTTTATTTACTCAGTTATTTATTTATTTTTTTGCTGATATTTTATTTGCAATAAAAGAATAGCCATGAGAGCAAGAGGAGAAAAGTGGAATCAAAGTGAAGACCTACATAATGTGCCCTCTCTCTAGCTCTTAAATTTCATACTGTTTATTTCTTTTTCTTTCACACAGAGCTCAGGCCTTCTCATTTGCTGTTGTCTCTGACTGGAACACTCCATTCTGGCTTTCTTCTTAGTATAATTTATTTATAATTTAAGAGGGTGACATGGGGAGTCACACCACAATCCTGCTATGTTCCTAGCTCCAGTCTCCCTCATCTCTATCCATACTCACCCTTCATTGCTTAATTCCTTCCTTCCTGAACTGTGACTTCACTCCCCTCCTCCATAAACACACACACACACACACACACACACACACACACACACTAAATTATTTACTTAGATTATAAGGGAAAATTCAACTTTCTTTCATTTCTGCCTCCAAATTTGCCTATCCAGACCCATCAAAGCCTCAGCTGAACTAAGGGCCTTTCATCTAGTAACCTTAGTTCTTAGAAAGATGTTAAAAATAAAAGGGTGATGAAAATAATATATACCTGCCAGTACAATATCCAAATACATTCCAAAGAGCAAGTCAAAGGACACTGACAGGTAGACAGGGAACAAGACTTGTCTAAGACAATTTATTCATCCAAACAAGGTATTGCTGAGCACCAAACACTGACCAAATTCAAGTACTCAGTTTCCTAGCCCAGAATTATTTTCAGAAAAGGAAAGATTAAGTAGGATGAACTTTGAGAACTGAGGAAATAGCAAATTACATAGGTCTTCACTTTTTAAAAGAATATATTTTTATTGATTTCAAAAGAGGAAGATAGAGGGAGAGAGATAGAAACATTAATGAAGAGAGGATCATTGATTGGCTTCCTCCTGCACACCTTCCTTGGAGATCGAACCCACAACCCAAGCATGTGCCCTTGACCAGAATCAAACCTGGAACCTTTCAGTCTGCAGCCTGACGTTCTATTCACTGAGCCAAACTGGCTAGGGCCTCCCTCTTTACTCAATAATGTCAATTTTGTTACATTCCTACTCTTCCATGGAAGAAATGAATTTATTTGCTTACACTTATTTTCTGAACAAGTAAGCTGAATATGATAATATTTGAATGAAGGCTTGAATTTACTAATCTATATAAAAGCCTAATGTGCAAAGTGTCCCCTTAGGAGTTTGATTACTTGCTATGACATGCTCTGACCACGAGGGGGCGATGTGGAACAAAGAAAGGCCCCAGCCGGCAGCTAGAATGCCTTGATTAGCCCTGATCACTGGCCAGGTCTAGGGACCTTACCTGTGCATGAAATTTATGCACTGGGCCTCTAGTTAACCATAATTTGAAAGAGAAATAGAAATAGAGATAGCAGGATAATCCACAATGTTTCCCTGTTAGAGGGAATCTGACTGGGGATTGACTAAGCAAGAAGTGAATGTGGGAACAACTCTCTTCAGGGAAACTGATCGAGGGTGTCTGTATTTCAGTTGCTGCACCCATCAGTGTGATTGACCTCTCCAATAAAATACTCCTCATATCGGGTATATGTTTGGCACTTCTGCTACTACTACTACTGACTTTCATCACCATTGGACTTTATTTAAAAAACAGGTTCAAAAACCAGCACGAAAATCAGGTAAAGGTATTCTTTATTTTTTATTAATATTAAAATATCCCTTCTTGCAGGTATCTATCCTTCACCTTTCTGTTTAGGAATAAGATCAAAATCAGCAAAACTCTGCCCAGAGTAAGTCACATTAATACCTCAGCTATGAAATATAGAAAATAATACATTATTTACCGTATTTTCCAGCATATAAGACGACCCCCTAATTTTACAGTTAAAACATAGGTTTAGGCCTATATTCGCTGTATAAGACTGAAATGAAAGAAAGTTGAGTTTTCCCTTATAATCTAAGTAAATAATTTAGTGTGTGTGTGTGTGTGTGTGTGTGTGTGTGGTTAGTCTTACACAGCGAATATAGGCCTAAACCTATGTTTTAACTGTAAAATTAGGGGGTCGTCTTATATGCTGGAAAATACGGTATATAAACTTCTTTGTGGATTATAAGAAATAATTTACATAAAGCATCCTCGCCTTGCAACAACACAAAGACATTCAATGAAAGGCTATTATAATTATTGTTATTATTAAATAGAGGCCGGGTGCATGAATTCATGCCCCAGTGGGGTCCTTTGGCCTGGCCTGAGGATCGGGCTGAAACTGGCTCTTTGACATCCCTGAAGGGTCCTAGATTGTGAAAGGATGCAGGTCAGGCTGGGGAACCCCACCAGTGCATGATGGGGTTGGGGAGGAATGTGGGATGTTGGCCAGAGACTTTGGGAGGGCTCCAGGGCATGTCCCAGCCTGTCTTACTCAATCCCAATTGGCCAGACCCCAGCAGCAAGCTAACCTACCAGTTGGAGCATCTGCCCCCTGGTGGTCAGTACACATCATAGAAAGCAGTTGAGTGGCCTTAGCATACCATTAGCATATTGGGTCTAGTAATAATTAATGTCGTTTTTAAACATTCGTTTAAAATCTTGCTTGGCGTTGACTTGTATTGACATAACCTTCAAACACGTGGTATCTACAGAACGTGTGAAGTGCAATTAACAAGTTTTGCTTGAAAAAGTTTGTGTTTGGTTTGGTTTTTGTTGCAAAACTAGGGCTAAGAAGATGGCGGATGAAGAGCATATTCGGCACTGCATGCTTTACGAGTTCCAATTAGGAAGAAAAGCAAGTGAGGCTGCAAAAAACATCTGTAGTGCTCTTGGTCAAGATGCAGTTAGCGCCAGAAAATGCCAGCGTTGGTTTGAGAAATTTTGCGAGGGAAATTTTTCGTTAGATGACAAGAGTGGTCGAGGCCGTGTGTCCAATTTTGATCAAGAAGCTCTTCAAGCTCTTTTGGTGCAAAATCCTCAAATTACCCAACAAGAGCTTGCGACAACTTTAAATTGTTCACAAAAAACAATTTCCAATTAATTGCGTGCACTTGGCAAAGTCCAAAAGTTTGGAAAATGGGTTCCTCAGGAGTTGACCGACAACAACCGTAATCAAAGAGTCACAATTTGCAGTTCGCTCCTCTCTCATCAAAACCGTTTGCCGTTTTTAGAGCAAATTGTTACCGGAGATGAAGAATGGGTGCTGTATGTTAATTTGAAAAGGCAGCCTCAATGGTTGGACAAAAATGAGGCTCCACAGCCCACGCCAAAACCTGACTTGCATGCGAAAAAAGTGATGTTGTGTGTTTGGTGGAATTTTAAAGGAATTCTTCATTATGAACTTTTACCATCTAACCAAACCACTACAAGTGCAGTGTATAGTGCCCAATTGGAAAGGTTAGCCCAAGCTTTAAGAGAAAAAGAACCCGCGCTGATTAATCGGAAGGGCGTAATTCTTCACCACGATAACGCACGACCGCATACTGCAAGAATCACCGCTGAAAAACTGCGCCAGTTGGAATGGGAAGTTCTCCCTCAACC